TAATTTTGGCTATTAACGTAACCTGACAAATGTACCCATGCTTCGTCTGAATAAAACGTTAGGTCTAACAAATTGTTATCGTTTAAGCGTTCGTTGAACCAGTGGCAATATTGCACTCGACGATCGTAATCAAGTGCATGTAATTGTTGCACGGAAGAAATTTTGTACGGATGCATGTGTAGCACCTTCTTCAAAGCTTTGTGGCAGGTACCAGTCGATAGGCCTATAAAAAATACATTTTATTTTCTATTACACAAATACACGTAAACTTAGCCGTACCTGTTTGAGCGGAAAGTCGAGAAATCGATTTTTTGGGACTTTGTTCCATTCGTTGTTGAATATCGTTAACAACATTTTCACTTAAAACAGTCGGTCTGCCGGACTTCCCTTTGCAAATGCAGTGCTTGTTTTCATATCGTGTTATTAGACGTGACCTGTGGTTCTTAAATACATCGTAGTCGATATTAACATCAGGGTACTCTTCGGAAAACTGTTCAATGCACGATTGCAGTGAATAGCTGCAAGTTCCATCAGGATTTCGGTTACCACTGCGGAAATGTGCCATTAAAATAACACCATCTTCCTACAGCGATACACTAAAAATTCAGAATAACTTAATGACAATTCTCCTTAAAAAATTGTTAACTTACATCAGAATAACTTCGTCTAAGAGCTCTGAAAAGAACTGTTTTGGCTGTTGATCTAAGATAATGTTAAAGAAATTCGAAAAAAACGGTAAACACAAGCAAAGATTGACAGGAGGTGAAATAAACAAATATGCAATTTGGGTATTTTGTTTTAACCAACTGTCCGTGTCTAAAGAAAAAATATTTAAAGCGGGAAATTTAAATTTGGTCACGTGGGTCTCAGTAATTGATGAAGGCCCTGTATGTACGTACGCTGGCCGTAAATTATGTACGTACATACCCAGTACAATGTTGTGTCAAATGGATGTCATATGTACGTACGTACATAGGAGGTACATAAGGCGTTGATGGACGTACAATGTACATTGCGATTTTTAATTAAGTATGTCTTATGTACATACACTGTATGTACATATGCTATATGGGATTACAAATGAAATTAGAAAAGACATAATTAAAGACATTAAAACAGCTAAATATTTTTCGTTGATTTTTGATTGTACCCCTGACGTAAGTAAAAATGAACAGATGACTGAAGTTATTCGTTACATTAAATTTAATGACGAAGGGCCACAAGTATGTGAAAGTTTTCTAGATTTCTTTACTGTGAGTGAAAAAACAGGCGAGGGTCTTTTTGAAAGTATCGCTGAAAAACTCAAAAAAGATGGTCTAGACTTGATGGATTGCAGGGGCCAGTCGTATGATAACGGGGCAAACATGGCTGGGAAATATAAGGGTGTCCAGTCAAGGATTGTCCAAGAGAACAAACTGGCCTACTTTGTCCCATGTTCAGCACACTCATTAAATTTAGTTGGGGTTCATTCGACAGAGGCGTGTGTTGAAGCACAATCATATTTTGGCCTTATAAACAGCCTTTACAACTACTTTCATGCGTCAACATCAAGGTGGGAAGTTTTAAAACAACATGTTCCCCTTTCATTAAAATCAGAGAGTAAAACAAGATGGTCAGCAAGGATTGACTCTGTGGAGGTTATATATAAACATATGGACAAGGTGCTGTCTGCACTTGAAGAATTAACCACCCATGAATTCTCATCTACAGAAACAAGATCTGAAGCTAAATCTCTAATTAAGAACATGAAAAGGTATGAATATGTTGTAATGACATGCTTTTGGTACTCAGTCCTCAAGAAAATTGATCGAGTGAGTAAGTTTTTGCAAAGAGAGGACACAACAGTAGATAATGCTGCAAGAAACATACAAGTCTTCTAAATGTATTATCTTCAACCAGGGACTTAACTGTTTCAGAGGCAATTGATGAGGCAAAATTGTTATCTAGTAATATGGGCATAACGGCAGAGTACAAGGAAACAAGAAAGAGAAAAAAAAATGACAGGAGACATATATGAAGATGATGGGCCAAATTTTACGCAAGAAGAACTTTTCAAAAGATCACTTTTCCAAATTTGTGATAGAATTATTACTGAGCTAAGTAACAGGTACGATGCATTAAAAATGATTGCCGACAAGTTTAGTTTTTTGTGTGGGGATCAAATTAAAAAACTGGACGTTAAAACATTGCAAAGTAAAGCTAAAGAATTAGCTACAACATATACAAATGATTTAAACGAAGAAGAACTTGTAAATGAAATCGAGAGTTTTAAGTTTCATGCCCTAACTATGGAAGATGGAATTGAAAACGCAACAGCAGCATCTTTGCTCAAAATAATGTATAACAGCAAGTTGGAAGAGGTTTATCCAAATATATATGTAGCTTTAAAAATATCCATATACTGGAGAAAGAAGTTTCAGCAAATTAAAGCTTATAAAAACCTACCTAAGAAATGCTATGAAACAGCAACAACTGACTAATTTAAGCATATATCCATTGAACATGAAAGGGCTTCTTTGATTTCTTTTGATCACATAATTAACACATTTGCTGCAAAGAAGGCTCGAAAGATAAAAATTTTATAATCAGTTAATGGATTGAATAGGATATGAAACATGTGTTGTAAATAAAACCAACCACTATTATCTTACTTAGAATTAGGTCCTTTTTATTGTTTGTATTGTTTTGAATTAATGTAAAATGGAAAATTTTTTTATTTCATTAAAATAACACTTTCTAATTCAACCAAGTTTTACTTCAACTTCATATACGACTCATATAGTAGTATGCCTTTTTGTAAATCGAGGGGGGGGGGGTGCCAAAAATGAAGCTTGCCCCTCCTAGAAAAAATTGGTAGGTCCAGCCCTGACGTAACATGGCGCAGTCGAGTAGTACCTACTCATTTTTAAAACTTATGTGAGTATACAAAATTACAATTTACGAAGTTGTAGGAATATAATCAGTAATTACACAAGAAAAAATTTGGTGTCGTATTTCGAGTCGGAGAAACAAAATGGGCGACAGTCGTGGAATTGTACCGTTGTCTTTGAGAGGAAATCAGGCGAAAAATTGGAAATTATGGCGAGCTCGATTTGAAAATTACCTAGTAGCTTCGGAAGTATGTAAAAAGGACGAAGTTACACAATGCGCTCAACTATTCCATTACATCGGTGACGAGTGGTTTAAAATCTACACAACGTTTGTGATAAAGCAGGAAGAGAAAGACAAATTACAACCTTTACTTGCCAAGTTTGAAGAGCATTTTATGGGCAAAGAGAACATAGCCTATGAAAGGTATAAGTTTTTCTCATATCGACAAGAAGAATCCCAAACTACAGAAGATTTTATCATCGAATTAAAAAAAAGGCCAGCAGGTGTAAATTAGATACCATGCAAGACAGCTTGATAGTCACTATGATTACATGTGGAATAAGGAGTGAGACCGTACAGGAGAGGCTATTACAAGATGGTACCTTGACTTTGGATAAAGCGTTTGATTTATGTCACGTCATAGAGTCTGCAAAAGTACGAAGTCAGGCCATAGGAAATGCAAAACCAGTCGAAGTTGATGCCGTAAAATCTAGGAAAAATTTCGTCGGGAAACAAACTGTAAAAAATTGCAAGAAGTGTGGGAAGAATGAACATTTGGTCAACCAGTGTGCCGCTTATGGAAGGGTCTGCAGTTATTTGTTATTGCCGGATTCCCAATCATTTTGCAGCGGTATGTCTGAAAAAGAAAAAACAGCTCGAGAGCAAAGGCAGGAAAATACAGGAAGTCAGCGATCAAGAAGCCGAAGAAGTAAATTCAATTATAGTCTAAGAGCCCGCGACGCAAACCATTACCATTCAAATAGCAGCATAAAACGTATACATGAATAAGTATTGGAGGTCCCCATACACGAAACGCTCGGTCTGTCGGACCGCATTTAGCCGAAAGGTAAACAAATTCAATTGTTTATTTGTATATTTCATAAGAAATCATTACTTTTAAGAAAATCAGGTCATATGTGGTACCAAATTAAAGCTCTTGACGTCAGCTGCACAAATAACTCGGTCTGTCGGCAGGCAAATAGCCAGAAGTCCTTGACAGGCCGACATTTAGTCTGCTGCTAGAAGCCGACATTTCAGTTAGTTAGAAATTTCTACGGTCATTCAGATCCAAGCATTTTAGTTCTGTACCAAAGAGTAAATAACCATAAACCTCTACAGCGGATCTAAAAAAGCGGCTGAGCTCCTCGGTTTGACCCTACGGGATCATTGAACATTTCATCTACTGCTAGAATCCCACAGTTAGCTCAAAATATAAGAGAATCATTCAATTCAAAAACAATTCAATGAAACAATTGCAAAGTGAAGAAAAGAATTAATTTCATATTTTGTCGATAACTTTTCTTCACTATACAATTATTTTGTGGGATTCCAGCAGCAGACTAAATGTTCGATGACCCCGTAGGGTCAAACCAAGGAGCTCAGTCGCTTTTTTAGATCCGCTGTAGAGGTTTATGGTTATTTACTCTTTAGTACAGAACTAAAATGCTTGGATCAGAGTGATCGTAGAAATTTATAACTAACTGAAATGTCAGCTTCTAGCAGCAGACTAAATGTCGGTCTGTCAAGGACTTCCGGCTATTTGCTTGCCGACAGACCGAGTTATTTGTGCAGCGGACGTCAAGAGCTTTAATTTGGTACCACATATGACCTCCTTTTCTTAAAAGTAATGATTTCTTATGAAATATACAAATAAACAATTGAATTTGTTTACCTTCCGGCTAAATGCGGTCCGACAGACCGAGCGTTTCGTGTATGGGGACCTCCAATACTTGTTCATGTATACGTTTTATGCTGCTATTTGAATGGTAATGGTTTGCGTCGCGGGCTCTTAGAATATTACACAAGAGGATAACAACAAAAACTTCATCTACGTAGGCAGCGTAGACGAGCAACAAAATGTGGACACCGTTACAGACAATCGTCAGTGGAGAACTGAGTTAGAAATTAATCGTAAGGTAATTAGTTTTTTCTACGGTCACGTATAAACTTCTTGGTTTACGCATTTCTGGCGATGCGTAAACAAATCTATTACGATATAGTAACTTGTTTACACACTCCATGGTTGACACCTTATCATGGAATGATCCCAGCTATTCCACATTATTAGTTTAGTTACTTTGACATGGTTATGTTTGCAGTAGTGCCATATTTATCTACCTGTCACTTTAATTCAAAAATTTGAATCAAGATTCAAAATAAAATTTAGACGTTAATTTTTGTAATACTAAACGAGTTTTTGTACTTTTAATAGATTATTAGGTATGAATACATAGGTACACATCAAAATTTAAACACAATATAAAATTTGCCGTAGAAATGGAAGATTTAGATGCCGTAGAATACGAGGGCTGTACGCCTCCCGATGTTGCTGAAACTGCAAAAAAAGTTACCCTAGAGTTGTTGCCTTCGAAATCACGGAAAATTTATGAAAAACGTTATGACGAGTTTATTAAGTGGTGTAACTCAAATAGGATAAACAAGTACTCAGAGAATGTGCTCCTTACATATTTCTCAAAGCAAGCCGAAACGTATAAGGCTCCGTCACTTTGGTCATTATTTTCAATGTTAAAGGCAACTTTATTGGCGAAGAATGATATAAACATAGGAACATATTCCAAATTAATAGCTTTCCTTAAACGAAAAAGGGTTGGATATCAACCTAAAAACTCAAAAATCCTAAGTTTCGAACAAATAATTCACTTCCTAAGTCAAGCTCCTGATGAACAGTTTTTAATGATAAAGGTGGGTCGAAATCTTTCATACCTATTAATAGACGGCAGCATGCAAAAGTCATAAACTCTTTTAGGTCGCATTAATCTTTGGAATTTGCGGAGCCTGCCGATGTCAAGAGTTATATAACTTGAAATCAGAAAACATCACGGAAATCAATAATTCTCTCATCATAAACATTGAGGATACTAAAACTTACAAACCTAGAACATTTACAGTCATAAATGCAGATAACATTGACTATTTGGCGTATTACAGAAAATACTCGGCTTTAAGAGCAAACAAGTCTTCTGCAGAAAAACGGTTCTTTTTAAAATATCAGAACGGCCGTTGTATAAATCAGGTTGTTGGGATTAACACATTTGGTAATTTACCTAAAATTATTGCTTCATATCTAAAACTAGAAAATCCGGAACTATACACTGGTCATTGTTTTCGGCGATCGTCGACTACTTTGCTTGCCAACCGAGGGGCCAATCTTGTGGAAATCAAGCGGCACGGTGGATGGGTTTCGTCAAGCGTAGCAGAAAATTATATTGACGAATCAATTGCTAATGAACTTGAGACGACAGCAAAAATTCTGACGTCTAAGCCGAGCACTATTACTGCCAGTACTTCTCACCAAAGTAACGTTGTTAATATTCAACAACTAAAACAGTATAGCAAAACAAAAAAAATAAACTTAATTTCAAATCAATTAGAAATCTGTTTTAAGATAAATGTTAATGTATTTTCACCTCAACAGATGGCGCTACTAGTATTATAATAACAATATTTATCAGTAAATTTCAAATTCAAATATGTTCCTACATGTGGGTCATTTTATTCTCATTTCCTGATGTCCTTGCTATTTGCAAATTTTGATGTACATTCTAGAATATGGCGAGCATGATCCAACATTGTGAACTTAATTGTATTATTAAGAGATCTTGTGGAGTTCACCTTTATATTTAGGTAAGTCCATAGTCTTTGTAAATTAAGCTCGTACTTAAATTAAGTGATGTGTTCACCTAAGGCATGTACCTACTGATATTCGACTTTATATTTAGAATACTACCCAAAATAAGACAATTCCCGATTACGACAAAAAACACCCGAT